CCCCCTCCCCCTCCCTTGACATCCAAGCCCAACTCCAACAGACAACAGACCAAGACCCGAACCTCTTCGCTTCCTTCCTCCACTCCGCCTTCCCAACCCTCTACACCTCCAACCTCTTCCGCGCCGCCAACCGCCCGGACTTTTCGGTGTATATCGCCTCCGCCTCCGCCTCCGGCGCAGCCCCCTACCTCGCCGCCACCCTCGCCTGCCTCACCTCCATCTACACCGCCCAGTTCTCGCCAGACCCGGCCCAGCACACCTGCCGCAGCCGCCAGCTCTACGCCCACGCCCTCACCCACGTCGTCGCCGCCCTGCACTCCCCCGCCGCGCTGTCCGCCCCGCTCCTGGCCGCCATCATGATGCTCGCCGTGTACGAGATGCACGCGCGCACCTCGCCCGATGCATTCGTCGTGCATGTTGATGGGGTCAGGAGGATCATGCTGGCTCGGGGGCCCGCCGGAGGCGAAGCTGACGGCGGGGGTAACACCGACGAACATGGACACGGCAGCAACGCCAACGAACATGGCCACGGTGGCAACGGCGGCGACAGCGACGGCGACGGCTTCGCGCGCGGCTGCTACATCGCCTTCCGCGGGTTCCTAATCGCGACGGCGGTCTACGAGCGGCGCGCGTGCTTCCTGGACGGGGAAGGGTGGCTGCGTCTGGCGGAGCGGATCCGGGCGGAGGATGTGCGCAAGGCGGGGTCTCGGGCGGGGGTGGTGGATGTCTGTGAGCGGATCTGGATGGAGGTTGTGCGGTGTCCGCGGTATCTTGCCGAGGCGGATGATGCTGATGCTGATGATCAGGATCTGGTGCCGCGGGTGCGGGCGACGAGGGCGCGGCTGGTGCAGTTGGTTGCGGAGTTGAGGGGGACGATCCGGCAGGGCGAGACGGGCGAGACGGGTGAGGGGCTGCTGCTGCAGGGGGCAGAGGATATGGTGTCTGCGTTGCAGAGTCTGCTGGGTTGGCTTGGACGAGGGCGCGGGCTCTCGTTCCGGGTTGTGTCGGAGTTTCAGCGCGGGGTGTCGAGTTCGTCGAGCGAGGCGTTGCCGGTCACTTGGCTGGACCGGGTGGCGTCGTCGATGGGGGTGATAGGGTTGAGGATTGTCTGGGAGGATACTGATGCTGATATGCATTATAGTGTTGGCGTATAGACATGGAGTAGCACGTTGGCGTTGCTATAGACGGCATGCATTGAGTTGTGTTAGTTATATACAGTTGAAGCTAATATTCCATCGACTCCTCCAGTAACCCCCTCAGCTCCTCCCTCTCCTTGTCCAGCTCGGCGTTGAGATTCGGCGCCAGCATCAACACCCGCTTCTGCGGGATGGTCCCCTCGACCAACGAGTCGATATCCGAGGGCTTAAACCCCAGATCCTTCAGCCCGCGCGGCTGGTCGCCCAACCGGACCAAAAAGTTGGCCAGCGCCTCGCCGAGCACCTCGCCCGCGCTCTCGCGCTTGACGTTCGAGATGTCCACGCCAAAGGCCTCGGCGGCCGCCAGGTGCCGGTCCGGATTCGAGGCCGCCGTGAAGCGGAAGACGGCGGGCGCGGTGACGGCCACGGAGACGCCGTGCGGGATGATGGGATGGTCGACGTCGTAGCCCGCGTGCTTGTACCCCGGGTTCTGGCTGGAGATCGGGTAGCTCATGCCGTGGCACAGATGGACGCCGGCGTTGCCGAAGCCGACGCCGGCCAGGGTGGCGGCCAGGAGCATCTGGGACTGGGCCTCGAAGTCATCCGGGTCCCGGACGGCGCGGGGCAGGTACTTGACGGTGCTGCGCAGGGCCTGCAGCGAGAAGATGTCCGAGATGGGGTTGGCGCCCTGGTAGGCGGGCCGGTTGATGGGGTTGGTGGGGCGCGGGGTGCGCTCGTGGTACGGGATGGCGGTCCAGGACTCGAGCGAGTGGCAGAGGACGTCGAGGCCCGAGGAGGCGTGGACGGCTGAGGGCATGGTGCGGGTGTTGAGCGGGTCGCAGATGCCCAGCGTGGGCTTGAGGTTGCGGTGCGCGATGCCCGTCTTGGCCTTTTTCGCGACGAGGTCGAAGATGGCGGTGCCCGTGGTCTCGGACCCGGTTCCTGCGGTCGTGGGCACGGCGACCAGCGGCCGCAGGGCCTTGGTGACGGGGAGACCTTTGCCCAGGGGGGCGTTGACAAAGTCGAGGAAGTCGGCCTCGGGGAAGACGGTGTACAGGTTCATCAGCTTTGCCGTGTCGATGACCGAGCCGCCGCCTGTGCTGTTAGGTTAGTAGTGAAGGGTCAAGAGCTTGAGACGGTACTCACCAACAGCAAGAAAGGCATCGGGGTTATACGGTTTTGCAAACGCAATGGCATCTTTTACCCTGCAGGGATCAGCTTGTGTCATTTTAGTTGCTGTAGATACTCACGAGCTATCCTTTGGCTCCACCCGCACCTTGTCATAAACCGTAAACTCGATCCCCTCTTTTGTCAGCCCCTCCACCGCGTGTTTCATGGCATCCAGCTTGGCCACGTTCTGGTCGGTCACGATGCACACGCGCTTCGCCTTCATATTGGCAAAATCCATCCCCACCTCCTTGGTCGCGCCGGGCCCGAACCGGATACTCGAGGCGGCCATCTCAAAGGCGTACTCTTTCTGGCGCGAGGGATCCACGGGAGTGGCCAGACGACGCACATGGTTCGTCTGCCGATGGTGGTGATTGGGATTGGAGTGGCAGGGACAGGAGGGAGGATGGGTGTATTGCACTGTGCGCAGGAGATTGAGGGCTCTATTAGCGGCCGAGGGGGGCACTCGTATTGACGCCATTATATAAGGAATAAAAGATGATGATGCTATTGCTATTTTGTGATGAGAAGGGAGAGGAGATGAGATGAGATGAGAGTGAGATGACGGTGGGACAAACAAAGTGCGGGGATCCCCAATTATTTATCGGCACTCGGTCTTCTGGCCGAGGTCCTCCAGGGGAGAATTCTCCAATCTCCATACTCCGAATAGATTTTCACTTAGAGCCGTAGTCCGGTAAGCAGATCGATTCGGTCATATGAGCGAATAAAATGAGCATTCTCGTCTGAATTCTGTCAGCTAGATCCAACGGACCGGAGTCCGTGGAGTTGGTCACTGACTTTGATCTCAAGCTGCTACTTCAAAGTCTACTCAGAGTGATGACAATCTTATTATCAAGAATTATATATCAAATGTGCAGTAATTCCTGGCTGTACTTCCACTGCTACTGACTGGACTGTAATGCCGAGGTCCATATCATCAACGTGGGGACTACTCCAATCCGTGGATAACTGGATATATTTGTACTGGATGAATAGCTTCACTAGGTAACTCAACTCAGTAACTTAACTCAGTAACTTAACTCAGTATCATTAACAAAAAACATTGTATTACCACTGCATAGCACAGCACAATAGACCAACATAGCATCACCACCACCACATCATCTCCTCCTCCTCCTCCTCATCCTCATCCAAACCATGGATACCCCTAACAAAGCGTCAAAACCAAATCCCCCTCCCCATCCGCAACCCTGACCATACTCCCAGCAGGCGGCACCCCATCCACCCACTCAATCCCTTGTCCTTGTCCCACCTCCTCATCCCCTTCCCCCTCTCCCTCCTCACCAGAAGCACCCCCAGAAGCACCCCCAGAAGCAACATATTCAACCCTCACTTTCCTCCCCGCAAACGGATCCCCAAAGACATCCGACAGATCATACCACACCGCCCTCTCCACAAGATTATACGCAAACACCGTCTGCGGCGCGGCGCCGTACAGCCCGTCCGCGACGCGCGTGAGCTTCAGCGCGATGCCGCCGCTCTGTGGGTCGCGCCGGAAGGGCTCCGTGTAGCTGGTGTTCGGGGGCAGGGTGTACTGGCCGCTGATGGTGGAGCCGACGGACCAGAGGTAGAGCGGGAGGGGGCAGGTGTTGATGATGATGGCGTGGCCGAGGG